GTATGTCTTCCAACAGGACTCAGCTCCAGCCCACAAGGCCAAGAAGACACAGGCATGGCTGACGCTTAACGTCCCCAGCCACTGGGGTCCTGACCTTTGGCCCCCCAACTCCCCAGACTGCAACCCCCTCGACTACTATGTGTGGGGCGTTGTTGAGAGAGATGTTAATAAAGTCCCCCACAACACCATCCAGTCAGTCAAGGATGCGGTTCACAAGGTGATGACCCAAATGGACAAGGCCATCGTCGCCAAGGCCTGTGCTTCCTTCCGCACTCGCCTCGAGTCTGTCGTCGCCAACAATGGAGACTACATTGAATAATTCGAAACTGTATCATTTGAACTGCTTCTGTGCCAATTTTCATTTCAATATATTGATTTTTGCTTGCAAAACATGTCTTTTTAATTTCCATTATAGTTTGTCCCAATTTACCTGCCCCACCCTGTACAATACAACATAATACATGCTTCGACTACTCACAGAATTGTACAAGTCCCAAATGCTGTACACAAGACTTCTGCCTCATCACCTTAGGCATAAAGTTGATCAAAATTGAATTGATTGAAAATGAAGATTAACTACAATTCCCAAGGAATTTTTATTAAAGGCTTAAAGAATGATGAAACTGAACCATCAAAGGGGGGAGGATGCTGTGTCAAGTGCCCCAAGTGCAAGTCTCACTGACTAGGCATACTTCATAAGATTCAGGCAGAGGAGGACACAAGACAATTATGTCCTAGTTTCAACAATGCACAAAGAATGATGATTTAGTGGAATAATCCAAAATGAACCAACCTGACCAGAAGGCAGACACATGCACTGACCATGATTCCAAGTATAAGGACAAGTGACTAACTTTAAATATTCCAAACTCAGATGATCTGCCCGGGTATGAGAAACAATTGCCTTTGCATTGAAAATAAAAGCCTTGAATCCTATTCCTTCTCTTCTCTATGCCTGAAATTATGACAAAGGTATCAGCTCCCACATAACAGTTGTCACTGGAAGGATTCAATGATGGTTTTAGAATGAAATTGTTCAGCTCCAAAAAACCTGGATTTCTATCTCTCCCACTAACATTCCCAATTTCTAGATGTTCTGCTTCTAAAAGCCTCCTTTTCATTTGGGAGAGAGCCAAGCTTCTTCCATGAACCAATTTTCTGATTTTCTGTAAGAAACTTTCAAAAGCAAATGTAGAAAAGGAATCAAGAGGGCCAAACTGACATCTACAGTCAACCAAATATGAAAGGTGGAAGTTCATTGTCAAGATCTGCTTCCCATATAAAATGGGGCACTCTTGCAGGAAAGAAAGCAATAGCTGATGAGCATACTCCAATTCTTCTGCTGTGGAGCTGACACGACACAAGATGGTGGTGGAAACCATCAGCAACATGAAACACTTGGAAGATTTTTCCACTCACTATCCCTTCAATAGCAGCAGCACCAGTATAAAATAGGAAAAGTCAAAAGTCAGTTGCCTTGAACAAACTTGTCTGAAAGTGGCCTTGGCTTGCGTTGGAATTCAATGGGGATGCTTGGGTGAAAACTAACAAGCCTGTCAGACAATGCCTTTCACTCTTAAGGAGCAAGTTGAACATTCAAAGGACCAACAAGCCATGACAACAGCAGCTTCTTCATCACTCCTGAACATAGCAAATGCATATAAGCAATCGGGAAAATTGCCACTAAGTCGATATTGCACGGCAAGTCAGCAAAAGGAGTTACTCCTATATGATGCTTTCTATCAATTGCTTTCGGAAAGACTCATTTGTCCTCTTCAGGAACCTCCCCAAGGGAAATACCACTTAATGATGCTCTTTCAGATAAACACCTCTGACTGTGCACTTGTCACAACCATCCTTTGCATTATGACCCTTTGTCTGCCACACAAAGCACTTGGCTGGAAGGTCACATATCACTGAATTCAAGATTAATTTTTTTTTTATCCCCACTTCCAATAAGACCATCTTTCAATAGCCTTTGGACATCATCAATCACTGGTTATAAAAATTCCTTACCTGGGGGCTTTCCAATCCCATAAAAGAGAGCTACCACAAAACGTTTCTGGTCCCAAACCTGATCTAATATAGTCCAAAACTCATATCTTGACCCTTCCCATATTGAGACACCATCCACAAAAAGTTTCTGTTCAACATCACCAAAAACAGTGAAGTCCAAATGAAAATAACAATAAGCTCCTCCATTCCCCATCTCAACCACTTCTGTCATTCACAGGGTTCTCATAACAGTTCAAGGGTCTTTTGGAAGATTGAAGCCACTACTTCAGAGGACCTGTACCAAGAAAAGAATAGGCCTAGTCATCTATATGAACCTTTCTATATTCCAGAGTTTGTATCAGACAGGAAATGAACTCATCTTCAGTAGACCAGCAAGTTGGGCATGAGAAATTCCATGACTATGTTTCCACAAAGCAATATCAGCAAGTAAATTCATTGGACAAGAGCCAGATGGAGCAGAAACATCAGACCTATCCTCAGAATTAAGAAGGGCCAGAGGATGTAATACCTCCATGTCTGCACTAGATGGGACTATGCAACATACTTCTTTTGCATTCACATCAGTGCCTTCATCCACACTATAAGATGGCTCAGCTACAGCCTGACAGGAGACTGCAAAGAGCCTTTCCCTTTCACTTCCTGAAGCAGGAACTTCGGCTTCAGATTCATGGCAGTCTCGAAGCAAAGTAAAAGCTTCCTGCCTACTTCTTCTCCTATTATACTGAAATTTTCTGCTGCTAGAGGCCATCCTTGGAGTCCAACTAGCCAGGAAAAGGATGCAGTCAGTGCTCAAGAGTTTCCATTATGCTACCATATGGACTGATACCAATAGGGCTGTCATCTATACAACTTTAATTTTTTAGTTCAACTTCTAATGGATATGGCTTGATGGTAATAAATAAACCTATGTAATGAGGCAACCTTTCAACTAAGGGGGATCAGAATAAGTGTGACAAACATACTTAGCCAGTTAGGTGGGACTCAACACTGAACCCACCTAGATAATTCTGAACCCATCTATATATGGCTTTGGAATGATTACAAAAGTAAATAAAAATTCATCACGGGCCTACATAAAGAGTTATTCCACTCCTGCTACACCCTATCCTCAGAGAGCAAGAGTCATGACTAGGCTCAGGATGCTAAAGGTCCTGACATTGCCCAGATTCCAGTCACTACCTTAATAAAAAATTTCCACTTCCATTTCCCCCTTATTCTATATTACCATTGTATCCTAATTGAAAGGGAACCCCCATAAAACCTCTAGCATTAAGATTATTAGCCTGATTGCAATAGACAAATGTTAACCTAATGGAAAATTCACCAAGCATATGAAACCAAAAAACCAAAGCTAAGTTATGACAGGTGAATACACTGAAACTTAGGAATATTTATTAGAATTTAGACCTAGAACCCTAACTAGACTAGAACTAGACCAAATATGGTCTAG